TATTGTTTTGCTATAAAAATGTGGTACTGGTAATTTTACGATAAAAATTTACTGTTGATTTTTTTTTTTTTTTTTTTTTTGGATGGGTGGGAATATTTGTCCATAGCTGGTACCCTAACAGGTGCTACCACCCCGGGCCAGGGTGAATCCAGGAACAACAACAATGACAATATTTAGATATTCGTAAAGAGCTTTATTCATTTTCTTCTATCTTTGGGCTTCTTCAAGACAGCTTCCTAATTTTATTGTCTTAGATCTCATTAGCTTTCTAGGTAATATACTACACTAGATTGTTTTTACAAACTTGCAGAGAATTGTAATGATGCCCAGTAAAAGAATGATGTAGGGATAAACATATGTTAATCTGAAGTTGCAAGGTCATTTGAATGCAAGGCGGGTAGCCGAATGGTCTTAGACAAGATATACCAATCTCAACCAAATCTATGAAAAGAGGCATGAAGTGGCGTTATTGCGAAGGAAGATGATACCATACAGACTGGTCAATTACGATTACATTTCATTGATTTCTGCCCTTAATAGGTGAAATTTGGAGTAGTAATTGTCTGAATTCCACGTCTGATTGCAGGAGCTTCCAATACATAAAACAATTCCATCTCAGACTAGATACTCTGCATCACATTCTCTGAATGTATATCAGCTTTTGGAAATCTTACGATCGCTCATTTTGGTTTTGATTTTAACTGCCCATTCTTATAACTTCTATCTTTTCATATATAATGGGTCGTTTTTATTGCGTTTGAGGAGAGAATCGCTGAGAGAAAGGGGTTTCATTAATTTTTTTTTCTTATAAATCACGAGGCACACAAACATTCTATCAAGTCACGTATCCAAGTGTTTTCAAATGCCTTCAACACTCATCCGAGATATTTGCCGCATCTCGTGTCGAGTATCCGGTATGATTTTTAATCAGCGTTTCGATTTTGCCAAAGACTGCAAGAATACCTGAACATTCTCTGTCTTCCAGATCAAAATATACATTTCGGAACCACTTACGAACGGTCAGTGCCCTAAACGTCACATATATGTTGTGCTTTTTGAGTTTGCTTTCCCGGTAATAAAAACAATGACGGATGAAAATGCAATCATTTTCCTTCAATTTCACTAGTAACCTCAATAATCCACACCACACACCAGTCGTTTTGAATGAAGCGTTGAAATATCATGTATCAGAATATATACACCGCGTGTAAGTGCAAAATTATCCAAATCGTATAACAGCAAAATTCTGCAATTGTTAGATTAAGATCTGAGTCGTTGTATCTTAGAAATGATTAAAGGTATCTTACTGGAATTCTATAACACTATGGGATTCTACTTTGAGTAATAAGAATATATAATTACTCTCCAAGCTTAACAGAAGTATCGTGGTGAAATCGATCATAAACGAAAACGACTTATTCATTATTAATTAATCATAGCTAAAAATCATAGCTCATGAAGTACTGAAATAAAATTTAAATATACATTTATTATTTTCGGATAATTTTTCAACTTATTCAAGATGATCTTCGCCCTCTCTAATCTTCTAGCTTCCTATCCTGGCGTAACAATGTGCCTCAGAGTTTTCCAGTACGCTTTGATTTTCAAGTCTTTTTTACACTGCTCTTTGGACTGTCATAGCTGAAACTCCTCTCTCACGTGCCAAATGATTTACGGATTGAGTTAGGTCTTTTCTAATTGCTCACTGAAGCTCTACGTTGAAAATATGATCCCTCTTCCTGTTGTGATCTACTGATCCAGTTCTCCTCCCTTCCTGTTCTCTCTTTTTTAAACTTATTCACCGTTCTCTTGATGTTTCTTGAAGGGATTTGAAGATGGAAGCCAGAGTATGCATGTTTGTACCATTACTGAAGGCCTGAATTATATTTTCCTCTCACCATTGCTCATTTCGAAGACAGTGGGGCTGACACAAAACGATTTGAAACTGTTCCCTTTCTAGCTGAATAACCCAAAAGGGTTTTTTCAGTGATTCTTACGAAAAATGGTGTGAATATGGCTAAACGTCTTATTTGAAAACCTTGAATAAACAGACCGATAAAGGTAATGTATCAAATCTAAATGTCGTGTATATATTTATTAATATAAATCCATTATTTCTTCATTCATATATATATATATATATATATATATATATATATATATATATATATATATATATGAAGAAATAATGGATTTATATTAATAATTATATATATATATATATATATATATATATATATGGTTTACTAGAAATATAAAATTTGTCACTTAACTGATTGATATTATATTCAGCAACCCGCCTCCAGAGTTTCGTAGATGAACATTTTTGTAATCATTCATTTCACTCATCAGGGGATGTATTGAACAGAACAGTTACAAAAAGCTTCGCCTTCGTAACTCTGGTGACAGGATGCTGAATACAACATCAAGCAGCTAAGTGACACATTTTATATTTGTAAGTATCTCTATATTGGCGCTAACAAAAAACAGCATAGTATGATGAAAAAACGCCCCCAAATGAATAAAAACAAAATTTTATCGTCAAAATGTTTATGTTATTATTAACAGGAAAAACCAAAGTACTCTTTTATTCTTTTTGTTTTTAGTAAGTTTTTAATCCTTTCTAGCGCATTCGAAATTTTGGCTAAAATCTCGTTTTTTACTTCAGCGGTCGGCATTAATTTACGATTAGTATTCTCGCGCATTCTTTCCAGCGAAAACTACATTGATTTGGATATTCTTGCAAAAATCAAATAATTGTCGGATTTTACTGAAATTTTCAGCACTTATTTAAAAATGAATGTAATAATTTTTTACATTTTTTTTTGGAGAAAATATTGGTAAAATCTTTTTAATATGTTAACCCCCAATTAGTTAGTTTCATGAAATTTCGAGAAATTAAATTTCAATCTCAAAATTTGTTCTATTAGTTAAACTAATAAGTTAACTGCTCATTTACCAAAAATCTGCTCCGAATCGTAAAATAAAAAATACAATAAAAGGAAAATTATTTAATTAGAAAAGCTTTTAATTGCTTTTATAAATAAAATTTAATAAGGACCCTATTTTAAGAAAATGTTTTTCGATGAATAATGATTTTTCACAAGAACTGTTTTCTTTTATTTTTATTTTAATTATAATAATTTATAATATATAAATCTTTCTAAATTATGCTTTTCTTTCAGTCGGTGAAATTATATTTACTAATCAAAAACTGAAAAGCTTAATTCAATGTATTCTTCACCAATTTTTTTAAATAATGTTTAATTTATTTTGTGTATATAAAATATTATGCAATCTTCCCCTATTTAAAAGTATAGGCGACCATACACGAAATAATCGGAAAAAAAGAGCAATTACTATATTAAATTTAAATTCAACATTCCAAAATTAGATTACGGAGAATATTTTCCAATATTTTTTAAAATTGCCGAGTACTTGAAAATTATATAAAAATGGCGTTCACCCGTCATTTTCTTAAATTATGTTTTAACAGATAAAGTCTCCGTGGAACAACGATGAAGGTGTTGACACACTTTATTATCACTTGTTCAGTGATCTACGAGTGACAAACGACAGCGATAAACGCTTAATCACCGTTACTGTTCGTTTCAAAAATCCATTTCTCTGTTATTTTAAACTTAAAATAATTTTTCTTCAAATAAGATTAATTATACTTTAAATCAGCTAATATTCCTCAAAAAACGTTTAAGAAATTATATTTTATTTTTGTAAGATTTTTTAATACCGGGAATTAACTTTTGTTTACAAATGTATCAAAATGGCCGATTACCTGAAAGCGATCAAAAAGTTGATATTTCAATCAATATAATTCCTATTTAAAATACACCAGAGTATTTTGCTTACTGGAAAAAATAAATGTAATCATGAAAGCTTAAATGAAAGCTTCAAGAACGCTTTTTCATTTTAAAAAAAATTATTTTAAAACTTAGGTATCGAAACTGCGTGCAGGTAGCTATATATTTGTATTAATCCTATGATAATGCTCTTTATTGCAAAGAATGCTTGCCTTGCCTAAAATCTCCTTTCTTTCAGAATTCCACTGACTGACAGTATTTCTGGCTTTACACCAATACACACACACACACACACACACACACACACGCATATATATATATATATATATATATATATATATATATATATATATATATTATAAATTAATTGATTTAAAATATGGTTTAATTTATTAATTGATTTAAAATATGGTTTAATTTATTAATTGATTTAAAATATTTTTTTTTGCTACACAGTTCTAACCATGTTTTATTTTTGAAACATGGTTAGAAGTGTGTAGCGAAAGAAAAAAATATTTTAAATCAATTAATTTATAATATTAATGCTCTGTAAATTTACATCGAGCACTATTTTGTAAAAATAAAAATATCTATAAGAACACCGGATTATATATCTTAATGTTCTTTCTTTTTATATATATATATATATATATATATATATATATATATATATATATATATATATATATATATATATATATATATATATAAAATTATAGGTGCATCTTATCTGCTGTATAGCCGCAGTTGTAACAAAGATTAAAAATACCTTTTGACTATTATCTAAGTTCAGTTTAATCTGCCTACATGACAGTAGTGAGTGGACCTAACGGTGATCGAACTTACTAACCCAAGGAATCAATCTGCGATATGAGGTTTCTAAAATAGGAACTTAAGAGAAAGGACTTTGAAAGAATGCATGCAACACTACAGGAAAAAAAACAGATTTTTGTTCATAACGGACAAGCAAGTCTTAAGGTTAATTCGACATAATGTGCGTGAGCAGCTCAGCAGTTAAACAAAAATCATCTTCTGTGGTTTCAGCTCTTCTCTTTATCATTTCAACATCTCTCGTGGTGGAAATATTTTTGGTCGGATTCAATTGTCTTGTGCTTCGGTGGTGCTAGGGGACGGAAGATGGCAAGATAAGACGTTAAAATTACCTTTTCGTGATGTCAGGCCATGTGTGTGGCCGGCATCTGTAAAAACGAACGGAGAGTTAGTGCTGGCAAACGATTGATAAAGGGACAATCTATCTTTGGACAGCAGGGCGCCCACTTGAAAGACAAACGCATACAGGGAAATATTCGTTCACGCAGGGCAAGTTGCACAGTAAGGATTTCTCGGTCTCTCTCATTCTCTCTCTCTCTCTCTCTCTCTCTCTCTCTATCTCTCTCTCTCTCTATCTATCTATCTATCTATCTATCTATCATACAAACACATCAAACACAAACACGTACGCGCAAACAAATTCTCGACGTGTACGCATTTTTTGCCTCAGCCGTGTTTTCGAATAACGATTGTAGTTTCTCCAAAGAATAAAACGAGCCTCATTAAAGTTTGCATACACCATGTTCAGTTATATTTTAGTAACCCATTTATTATTCTGTGTTACCTGACCTCATGTATGACAGAAGGATGCTGAGAATACCATAGACAGAACAACGATGTTTTTTTTTTTAGAGAAAATGGAAACAAAAATGAAACTTATACTTAACAGGAAGAAAGTTCAGGTTTCTAGGGCACAGTGAAGAAAGAGGTCTTCGAAAATATGATATTCACGGAACAGACTGACGGGACGAGAGACCGAGGAAAACAATGCCTAACATACCTATTGAGCTTGAATAAATGGATGGTGAAACGAGGTTTAGAAGAAAAAAAAAAGACATTTATTAACGGCTACAAGCAACATGAAGTTTTGGAAAGCCATGAACGCCTACGCCCTGAGAAGACACGTCACAAAGAACTATCCATTAACTCCCACCGTAAAATCCGGTATTAATTACAGCTTTCATAAATATCCGGGATAAATTATAGGTTTCCACCTGTGAAGCCATTAATATTCACTTTAAAATCTGGTATTCATTATAATAATTAAAATAAGTCTTGTTTTAATTATAGCTTTCGAAAAAGAATTTTGTATTGATTATAGGTTTATAAAACCCCCAAATATGGCAAGAGTGTATTGTGTTTAGGGAAAACGCCCAAATGATTGCTCTCCGAACAGCTATGGGGTGGGGGGGTAATAGGACGAGAAAGCAAAGAGACGAGAGATAAATGACACTGTTTCAGAAGGCATAGCAACTTTAGGAACGAAATGCCCACGGAACCGATTTAACAAGACACTGAATTTTTTCAACGATCCTAATCCCTGCTGGCAACTGGTTTTCCTGTCGCTTTTATCGACAGGAGACATTTGACAGAAACCCGAATTTAGACAAGTTCTAGAGAGGTTCGTATCTGAATATGCCAAGCTGTTCCGCGGCTAACGGGTGATGTAACTGGTTTTGACAGACATGTCCACACGCAATTTGGGACCTATTAACTTTAGAACATAAATATGGTATTGATACTAAAAAAAATATTGAATTAAGTATAGGTTTCTAAATTGTCCATTCTTACTTACAAAATTATAAAACGTCCGCTATTAATAACAATCTTATAAAAATCTGATATTAATGTTAGGTTTCTGTCACCCATTAATGCGCATGGTCCAATTTTAGAGACAGTGTGTATTAAATGACTTTAAAGCTAAAAAAATCACTTTTACAGTTGATATAATTTTAACCCACAGAACTTATAGTTTTCATGATTCTTTATGTTACACGTTCATTTTTTTCTATGAAACTCTAACAATATTACCTATCTTTGCATAGTATAGGTTGCGGCAGAAATACCTCCCATATTTTAAACAGTCACTCTTGTGGTGCTAAGGAACTTACACAAGGGCAATGGTGTTTTCACCTAGCTAAGGTCTTAACATGTCGTTCTAAATACAGTAGTTATCATTATGGCTTAGAGAGGTGCACACTGCTTATTTGTTGTTGAAACGTTTCTTTTGTTTTTTTTTTTTTGATACGGGTGAAATTGTAATTGCAACACTGAGAAGTGTTTGTGCTCATTTCGTGTTAAGTAGGAATTATGCTGTTCAAGAGTAAAAGTCGAAAGTGCTATGAATTTAAAATTTCAGAGACACAGGTTCAGAGCTTAAAAGAAAACCGCCTGGAAGACTTCGAAGGGCACGAACAGCAGAAAATGTCCAGTAAGATTGGTAATGTTTGTTATTTATTGCCATATTTCCTTAATCTATATTCTGCCAACCATTTACACAAATTCATTAGGTAGGTCATTCACTGCTTTCCTCTGACCCCATTTTCCATATAGACTAAAATGTACTCGTTATTCAAATGTTCAGTCCATAGTATTTTCAGTATCCTTCTGTAGATCCACATTTCTGTTGCCTCTCTGTTTCATCCTTGATGACATTGTCCATTCCATCGATCGCTGACATATAGGAGAACCGGTATTACATAACAGTTCAGTATTCTTTTCTTTATAACACTCCTATATTTCTTAATGCTTTGCTTGAAGAAGCGTAAAGGTGGTCTCGTTCGAACGTTCATCGAGTAGGGAGTGTAGATCTCGTGCACATATAGGACCTAGGCATCAATTTCGCTGGCGGCCACGTTGAAAAGAAGCATGGCGCCGCTAGTATCATATATATAATGCTCTCTCCCTTTATATATATATATATATATATATATATATATATATATATATATATAGAGAGAGAGAGAGAGAGCATATGTATATATATATATATATATATATATATATATATATATATATATATTATAAATTAATTGATTTAAAATGTTTTTTTTCGCTAAACAGTTCTAACCATGTTTTTGTAATTAAATTAAAGACATTAGTTCCATTTCATCCTCAAGCGAATTTTGGAGTCAATTTTAAAATTACTGTTTTTTAAAGACACAGCTAAAATCATAATTCACGTTTCCATGTTACAAATAAATCCACTTCCACTAGACAGGGGTGTCTGCGTGTTATATATACATATACAATATACATATATATAGCATATATACATATATATATATACATATACAATATACAAGCAGAAATATTTCTCCTCCCGATGATGGCCATTTTGGACGAAACTCGTCGAGGAATCTAAATGAAATAATAATAAAAAAACGAAAGAATATTAATCTACAACCCAGTGTGTCTAAAGATTTTAATTTTTTAATATTCTTTTATTGTTCAATATATATATATATATATATATATATATATATATATATGGGAAAACGATATATCAAGAAAAATATAGGTGGATGACAAATTGCAAATTGCTAAGTTTACGTTTACGTTGAAGTGGCTGCACATTCGCGAGAAAACGATGCTGGTAATTTTAAATTTAAAGATGATATTTTTAACGTATATTGGATATATAATCTACCTTATTTCATTTATATTCTTTTTCCTTTTTTGGTGTTTCCATCACATTTCTTATTAAATATCCCAGTTTGGGATAATAGAAGTTCTTCCCATAATATTTCCCATAATATATATATATATATATATATATATATATATATATATATATATATTTTTTTATATATATATATATATATATATATATATATATATATAATATTTCAATTAAATATTACAGAGAAGATGCCTTGATTAGGTTTTTTATACAATTTTTCATGGGGTCTTATATATTTTTTTTTCTTTTCAGTAGAGAAATTATATAAAACTACCCAAATGTTTTTTTTTTCTGAGTGCTTACGGCTATACATTTAGCCATTTTCAAATTAAAACATATAAACTGTTAACTAGAAATAGATTGTTGTATGTATGTATTTATATAATGTTTCATTTACAAAAAAATTAAAACCTTAGAGTTAAAAATAATAATTCACTTCTTAGAACAAATTTAAATAGAACAAATAACATTTACGAATTTAAATGTCCATTACGGAATTGTATCCCTGATCAATCAAAATTCGTAAACAATTATATAGGCCCCACTACAACATGTTTAACAAGAAGACTCACACTACATCTTTCTGACCATAGTTCAATTAGGTCTCATTTAAATACTCATGGAGAACTACTGGACCTATTTGTAATATTCTTGTTGATTACACAATATAATAGCATCGTCTACATGTAAAAAAAAAAGAAAGACTAATAATATTGGAAGTCTTATTACTAAACAAAAAACAAAAAACAACACAGTAATAAATACATGCAACAATCTATTTCTAGTTAACAGTTTATATATGTCAACCTTGAAAATGGTTAAATGTATAGCCGAAAGCGCTGGGAAAAATAACATTTGTACAGTATATTTTGTAAATATATACTTTATTTTAGGATATTACATCAAAAGACGTGTCAAAATCTCTAAACAATTGCAGTCGTGTTTCAATGAGTATCAACTCACCGCATCAGGTGATTGTAATTAACAATCGCTTGATGAGTTGCGTTTATACTCATCAAAACACGACTGCAATATGTAACGATTTTGATATGTTTTTCGATGTAAAATAAAGAATATTGCTATTTTGTATGGGCTTTCTTTAATTAAATGCTACGAATGTTGTAATTGTAAACTATTCGTTCTCATTTTACATATATATATATATATATATATATATATATATATATATATGAAGAATATATAGAAAATAGGAAAGAACTCGTTAGGTAAATAGTCCAAAGTTCTTTAGTATTTTCGTTATTATTTTAAAAAAATAGTACTCGATACAAAATTAGAGCATAAATATAATTATTTATTTAAAATTATGATTCCAACACGCTACATAAGTGTTCTCATGCTTCAAAACAATAGCCGAAATCGTCAATATAATTATTTTAATTAAATTGAATTAAAGTTCTGTTCCATCTTCAAGCGAAATTTTTTTGGAATAACTTATTTCTGAAATTTACGTGTTATATATATATATATGTGTGTGTGTGTGTGTGTGTGTGTGTATGTGTATGTGTGTGTGTGTGTGTGTGTGTGTGTGTAAATTGTGACTTATTTTCAGACAATGTTTTTAAAAAAGTTGATAGCGTATTATTCAATTCGGTGTCGTGGTATTGATACCATCGATGGAGAACCTGTCATACCTTCCACCAATGTTTAAAAGACCAGCTTTTGAATCTGAGCAAGCTAATGGTAGTGTTGTTCATGTGAACAAAATGTTGTTCTCCACTTTTTCTTTTCAGATATATGAAAAACAAGGTGATATATATATATTAGTTTCATCCAGCCCAGAAATGAATCAACAACATTATTCATTAGCGAAAATTGTTGATATTGATATATAATCTTAATCAATAATAATGCAATTCCATGATAAAATACAAGCGTTTTGGAAACCAGAAGGAAAGAACTTAAACCAATCAAAAGAAAATGGG